CCCGCCAGACTTTTTTTTCTTTAACTATCCCCCTCTTTTTTTTATAATCCTCTTTTACTTTCCCTGTCTTTGTATGGTGCTGAAAGGGACTCCACCCCCCCCTCAATGACGGGAGTTCTGAAGTGTGAGTCAAGCCTAGCTCAGCAGTTTGTCGCTCATCTATCCTCTTTTAACTCTGGGCAGAAGAATGAGGGGTCATCAGGAGCACGGACTCCAAAGCCTCTCTGTTTTTATGCGCATTCCGTCCCAGCTAAGTTGTTTTGTCATTATTTTTAAACACGTTTTCTAAGGAAGTGTTTTTATTGTTTTCACAAACATCCATCTAGTTAACCATACCAGGAAAATGAGTTTAAAGGTTGTTCAGGAAATAGCGCTGTGTATTCCCAATTTTCAGACACTTACGCCACAAAGATGGGAGAATTTCAGGTTGATTCTTGGCTGCGTTGTTGGGTTTGTCCTGCCTTTTGTAATTAAACGCATCACTGTGAGCAGCAACAGCTACCACTCCAACATATGAACTAGCTCAAAGGAAAAATGGACATGATTTCATGATTTGGGACGGCAGCCGTCACAGAGGATGCCAAAGTACTCACAATAAGTTCATGTCATCCTACCAGTTAATGTTGAATTGCTTGTTAAAAGTGATGATGTAATTGTATCGGCTTCATTTATAAAACATAGTAAGTCTGTTGTGACAGTTTACCCCCTCCGCTTTTAGAATATCTCCATTTGTTTTGACCACTGTCCATTTCCAAATGTTGCTAGATTAGTTACAGCTTGTCAGAATGTTTCTGTTCATGCACAGCTGATCCTCTATCGGCGGCGTTGAAAACATCACACAGAGCACAGAGGATCTAAGCACCAAATGTTCCAGTCCAAAAACATGGTGGATTATCTTTTTGTCATTTCATGAGGTTTTTTTGTGATAATCCATATTTCATAGAAAACTGTCAGACTTTGATTGACACCCATTCATTCCCACTGCAGCAGTTGAACCTTTTAGGGATTTGGAGCTGCCCAAGTCAGCACTATTTTTCAGATCAGTAATAAAAGAAAAAAATGCTGTCAATAGATACACCCCCCTGAGCCTTCATGGAACACAATGAATTAAACTGGTGATGAACCAGAAGAGGTGGACCGTATTACTCCCGGACTTCGTGTGTGTGTGTGGAGCCCCCGGAGAATGCTGCGGGGCTCGCAGCCGTTGGGCGGCTAGCTGGAATTACCAGCACGATGGCCTGGATGACAATGGCAGATGTTGCTTTCCACCGAGTCGCCTGCTGCGGCAGACAGGAAAACGATGAGAGGCCCATGTATCAGCGGACGCCATTGGCCAAAGTACACATGCACTGAATCCCCCAGGAAACGTTAAAGAGGGGCGAGGCTACAGAGTAATAGGCCAGCGACCTTTGACCTCTGATGTGTACATATTTCCTATATGTTCCACATGTTTCCTGGTTTATAGCATATGTCCACAGTTTTTTGTTCAAATAAAATTCAGTTTATTCACAAAATAGAAAGATTTGGAACTAGAGGATGCTGTTGCAGCTGAGGCCGACACTTGACGTCCTCTATAGTTGATTAAAGCAGCAGCTCAGCAAATTTAAAGCTGATAACAACTGCACCCACTATTGTAAAGTGAGAATTCTGTGGAAGAAGCTTTAAACACGTGGTAAAGCGTCAGCTCCCAGCTGGTGTCAGTGTGTGGTACGCTGCCACCATGCACTCGGCATGCTAATGTGAACGATCACAGTAGCACAAGATGTGAAAGAAAACTGGCGAGTGGCACCTCTTTCTGCCACTGTTTACCTGTCAGTCAGACAGCCACATTAATATGAATGCCAGACAGAAAGTGTTCACCGAGCCATTATGTTTTCAGTCACTCACGAACACACCGGAGAAAATTGACGATTACAAAAGGTTGTTTAAGGTGAGGCAAGTCTTGGTTTCAATTTGTCCACAAAATATCAGCATACTTCTGTAAAAGATGTAGAAGAGCCTCTGTCTGCTGGAGGCTTCTGCATGAACACCTGCCACTGAAGACGGAGACAAAGGTCTGTGCTTCAATATGTCAAACCCAGCAGCTGTTAATAAGAATACGTTTATTGTCAGCTGGCCGTCATCAGTTTTCTTCCATCAAGTGGCACACGCAGAGGAACGAAAGGTAATGAAAACGCAAAGAAAGAAGTCATGTGGCCTGAGGCCCACAGAGGTATGCTGGCATACCTTCTGTCTCCTGGCAGGGCTGACGTCACCGCTCCCCAACCTGTCATAAATCTGTCCCGTAGGGTTGTCCAAAAAATCACAGCTGCTGCCTCTGTCTTTGTGTTTCCAAGGCTGTCAAAGTGATGTCTCAATCTTCATCCTCTGATAGCTTCATATGTAAAATATATATATGTATATGTATATATATATATTCACCATGGAAAGTTGAGTAACTTCCCTTATGGTGAACTCTGCGTAAACTCTCATGGTGTTGCACAACCTCCTCTCCTCTCCTCCGCTGTCCCTGTCCCAGCCTGTGAAGCAATCCAGTTTGACAGCTTTAGTGACGGCAAGCAGAGGCACATTCGCGAGTGCTGCGCTGCGCTGTGCAAACTGTCACACTTGAGCTGTTGCTGCTTGTAGTAGAAGCTAGAAAGCAACCATTAGACAGTCGCATGCGGCTACGCACAGCCCAACTTCTCCTGGAGGCTGTAAAGAATGCATTCAGCAATAGCCTCACTCACTCTGCGGTTGTGTCCTAATTGGAGTCGAATTGAATCCTAAAAATAGGTGGCGTTATTTTCTTTTCGCGATGATACGCCTGCACAGAAGATATCAACTTTTTCCATCGGTAATGGAATCTGTTATATGGTCTAATTTTTGCAGCAGCACTTATTGTGAGTCACATACAGAGAAGAAAGCAAAGGGACTACCGGTAATACTTCGGATGCATGGAAAAATCTATTTACGGTGTTTTCTTTCATGAAGAGGGCAAAGCAGCTTATAGCAAAAACAGTGAGAAATTGTGACTCATTGTTGCACTCTTTCTAAAAATGCAAAAGCAGTGTTCCCCTACAAGCTTCCGAATGAGTGATGTGTGCTGTTTTTTTTCTATTCTATGTAAACTATTTGAGTCAGCAGAAGTTTTCATCCTTACTTATTAGAAATGTCTAAACGACTGAATCATTTGCAATGGGGAAAAAAATTGTATTTTTGTTATATTCTGGTACTCTGCAGATTGTGTTTATCTGTTGATTTGGAGTGTTGGTGCTATAAATCCTTGAGTCAAAACAGCCACAACCGTAGATTAGATTGTTTAATTTGATGCCGTTAACTCTCATTCATCATACATTCATTTTCATATTTGTGTTCTATTTTTAGTGGCATCTGTACTCATCCATGGCTTCCCCTCTGATTTTAGTTTACCACAGCCAAATTGGAACTGCAGAAGTTTTCCTTCCTGACTTTATTGTTATTTTCACTCTATGTTACAGATGGTTATCTTACCGTGTAATTGCTTTGAGAGCTAAAAGTTTTACTCAACAGGAGTTCACCTCTAATATTCCTTATCTTGTTGTGCATTGTTCCAAAACCGCAGTTCCTCTGTGAGGGGGTCTAGCTGACCCATGTCAAATGACCTTATCCAAAGTCTGGTGAAATAGAGCATGTAATCACTCACTGCCTGTCGAACCAAAAAAAAACAACAACAGAACAACAACTAATAGACAAGGTGTGTTTAGAGGTCTGTGCTTCCAGGGCTGCATTTTTTACAATCCTACAGCTTAATGCAGTCCGCTTAATGACGATTACTAAAATCACTCAACTCGATGGTAAAATTCATGTGAATTTAGGTCTAAGCTCTAAATATGACTACAGTCACTGAACATGGTTATTTAATCAGACTAGTACCCGTTTCAGGGCTATATCCAAGCTAATGCCCTCTGTGAGCTGGGATGAGCAGTTTAGAATATGTCTGTGGGGATGAAAGTGGATCAACTTCTCACTTCTGACAGCAGCGCTGAGCCTCACACACACAGAAATAAATGGCTTAACGCCTGCCTTTTTAAATAAGATGTGTACATTTGTATGATGTTATATAGGTGGACGTGGCACCCAGTTTTCTTTCCGACACAATAAAGCTGATTGGAGTTACTGAGAGCCTCCCTCCTCACTCGTTGTTCCAGCACTGACCGCACACAAGTCTTTGCTTTGTCCATTCTGAGCTGCTGCAGAAACATCTGGTGCGGCATGCTCCTTATCTCATTACCCAATTTGTACATCCTCGGTTCCTGTCCTGAAATCCTCCCTCTGATCTCCGTTGCTCCCACCGGAGATCCAAACGGAAGCTGTGAGGACGGAATGGGAGGGGATTCGTGACATTCACTGACGGGGCTCTCATGAAAATTTCAATTCTTTATTCCGAGTTGCATTTATAGGTCGGCATCAGCACGCACAGATGCAGTGATTTGCTCACTAACTGCATCATCTGGGTGCGGGTGCCAGGGTTTGGACATTTTTTAATTTGTTTTTAGAAGTGATTGAGGTTTAATCCACGCTTTCTTTTTTTCTTAGTGATGTGTGAATGTGCTCAATGTCTGTTATATCCAGTTTGGATCACTGTCACAGTATCAGACACTACTCCAGACATCATGGAGGCCAGAAACACCACAGCATAGGAAGTCTTGCTTGTGGAGCCACTCACAATCTTCCTATATTTCTTCCTGGGAATAATATAGACGGAAGCAAAAATGAAAAACATAAGAAACTTTTCAGAAGACTATTTCTGCAACCTTCTGCAAAACTTTAAATTAGACTGTGAATATTGTATATGATTTATAGCAATTGAATCCTCTTAAATTCTGTCAGGTTTCTTTAATAAACTTTATTGGTGTTTTTGCTATGTTTTGATAAGTGCTCTGGTAAATGTAACTCTAATGAGCAAGCTTTGTGTATCTGGTGGCGCGTCTGTGCTCATCCCTCATCTGCTCTCTATCTACAGGAGGACTCCATGAAAGATGACAGAGGAGGTGATTGTTGTAGCCAAATGGGACTACACGGCCCAGCAGGAGCAGGAACTTGACATCCGCAAAAATGAGCGCCTCTTCCTTCTGGACGACTCGAAGACGTGGTGGCTGGTGCGCAACGCCGGCAACCACACGGGTTACGTGCCCTCCAACTACGTGGAGCGCAAGAACAGCCTGAAGAAAGGCTCGCTGGTGAAGAACATCAAAGACACGCTCGGTAAGGAGAACCTACTCTGCTTTAAGACCCAAACGAACGAGGTCGCCTCTGTTAAATCCAAAGGCTTTCTCACCAAAGGCTGGACGGTTTTTATTTTGTGTGTCAGCGCTTTGTGCTCTTCGGTAGAGGGGGGGAAACGCGATGTCAAACAATGGTCAGTGTGTCTGCCTGTGTGTGCGCATTAACCTAGATTTTAAAAGCATCCGCTGCTGTGTTTCTGTCCCGGCTGGGAGTCGTCACCATGCACCCCAGGGATCCTGCTGAGCTGCCCGCGGCTCTCAGCTGTCAGCACACTGTCAGCCAGGCCCCGTTCACCACTCCAATAGATGTGCTTTGTATTTGGGCATGCCTTTAAACATATGAGAGGAATTGTGGTGCTTATGCGCAGTCCGCTTTTTTTTTTTTTTCTTCAAAGACCAGCATTCAAAGAAAGGATTGGAAATGTCATAGATAAATGAAAGAGATTACTTCTATGTGTGATCAATGTTACATGAGGGTTCTATTCAGCAACTCCAAACCTGTCTGCTTCAAAGCTTGTCTGTTATTGTCACTAAACGTCAAACTTTTGGTTTGTCTGGGTGATTCCCAGATGTGAGTTATGGGCTTTCACCATGTCTGATATGATATCGACCCTCTATATATATATATATTTATATGTATAAAGTCACCTTGTGTGTGTTTGATAGACGCTGCCGGCCTGAGTATGACGCACAAAGCTGTCTCCTTTGTCAGCAGACGTCGGCTGTAACCTTTTCGTAATGCAGTTATCTGGTGCCAGTCTATTTGAGAGATTTTCTTGTTAACAGCATCGTCCCTGCTGCGGCTTTCTTGAGGAAACGGTTTCCTTTGAGGTTTCGGCTCCTGCGCAGGAGCGCGGCAGTGGTGTAATTTGTCATGACTGAATGTTAGAAAATGATCTCATTACCTACTCCTAAAAGATATCAGAACTTCCAGTAAAATGCGCCTCAATTTACTTTCTGTTTTTCAATGTAGTGGATAATCGATCGGCTAATTACCCACACAGCAGTTTCCTCTCTGCAGCACGCAAACGCAACAGGAAAAATCCTTGACAAATAGGTTTTAGTGCTCATTGGAGATGTGCTGATGGAGAACTGGAATCAGGAGACTGACATCCAAATGATCCACTTGCAGTTTTTTTTTTTTAAATCATAGCTGAAAAGGCAGTGCAGCAACTGGGACAATTTTTGCACTTTTTGAGACATCTTTTTTTTTTGTCCTGCTTCTCTTTCGGTGAGAATGGCTGGAAAGGAGGCACAGAGGGGGCATGGGAAGAAATAGAAACATCTGGTAGAGATTCTAACAAGACGGAATGATCACGAAGTGCAACAGAAATAAATATAGTAACCATGTGGCCCTGAAAGGGAGCCATATTTAGCTGACAGAGCGAGAAAGGCGGGTGGAGAGGAGAAGAGGAATGGCGGGGGTCTGGTTTAATGTGCCGGCTCCTCCGGGCCCTCGGGGGAACGGCTGCAGCTGTATGCGAGCTGCCGCGGCACCGCCTGACACGGGCAAGGCCTGCAGGGTTCAGAGAGGGCAGAGATGACACCCCCCCCCCCCTCAGTCCAGCGCTCCCACATGGCTCCTTCAGGCTGCCCACCCTGCAGGGTTCTCCTTTTGATGGTCGTGTAGCTTGATTAGTGAACGAGAAGGCTGACTAATAGTCACACTGGAGTGATGGATCGCCTCTCTGTCCAAGCTGCATATCGACTCCAACATTATGGCCCCGTTCCTCTTCAGTCCGAGCAGCAGCGAGCTTCCTGCCAGTAGCTCTTTAGTGTTAAAAGCCCGGGAAAATCCAATAGGCGAGAACACTTTCACGCGGTGATGAGCAAATAGGTGAGGTCAGAGACTAATGGAAACTACTCACACACTCGAATGGAGGATCTGATTGGCCGGGTGCTTGATTCCTTCATCCGCGCTATCCTATAACTGCTTTTCATCCTCGTCAGTGACTCCACATTATGATTATGGAGCACGTGGATGGTCTGTAATTACCGTTATCTACAGCCTTTCCTCTTCATTTGCCGGGCTTTGTAGTTGGTTATGTCATTAGCGTCCATCTCGACAGAATCCGACTATAAATGGCTGCGTGCCGCTTCCTGCCCCAGTTTCATCCCGCTGGAAATAAAAACAAAAACAAAAGTAACGGGATAAAGTGATTAGCAGAGCGCCCACTTAGGCCTGCTGCTGGGTCAGAGCTTTCACCTCCAGTGTGTCAACAAGTACAGTTTCCAGCCACCTGCGTCTAAACAGGACATTGGTCATTCGCAGCTTTTAGTGTGCGGCCATGCATGTCTGAATACGCACCAGGCTGGCCGCAGATTAAAAATCAGCCGAAATACCTGCCGTGCGCAGAACTTTTTAGTTAAATTGTCGACGCTGTGCAGAACAGCCGCAAACGAGTCCCAGATTCGAGACGTCAAAAGGACATGTGATCTGCTGAAGTCCTGGTTCCAAAGCATCAGAGAGAATCCCCAAAAGGGACTGCTGTTTAAGAGGTTTTTGTGAAGATCAGCAGGTGTCGGGATAAAAAAAAAAAAAAAAAGAAAAATCGCATCTGTAATCACCATCTCCTGTAGGACCAAGATCTGAAGACACTGGATCCATAGTGGGAGCTGTTCCTGTGCAGCCTTTGTGGTTTGGCAAGACACATTTTCCTACAGGGGGAGAGGAGGGTGCTATCGGGAAGTGATTTTGCAGGACTTCGGATAAACTGTATACCAGATATGAAAGAGTCAGACTAAATACATTTTTCACATTTCGTTCAACCTTTAGAGGCCACTCCAACGGCTGCCAATCACAGTCTCCACAACTCCATTTTGTGGGATCTTTTTCCTTCCTTGGAGCGGGTCCTTCACAAAAGGGATTTTCCCTCATCCTCTGAAACCGTACAGTGGTCGGTTATGATTACGTGTGTACAGTGATCACCCAAACACATTAAATAAACCACAAGTGGTTAACAAATTGATTGGCGAACCCTTTGTAAGTCCAGCCATTGGTTTGCTGTTTGGGAGCTTTGAATTTGTCATTTTGCCATCACCATCTTGTAATGATTGGAATTGGGGAGCCAAAGACAGTCATGTTTAGATAAAATGAATTAGAAACTGACTTTTCAGTAGCCTTTCTTTAAAAAAACAACTTGATTGGTGGCCTAATTTCTCTCCATCATTTCAGTGTCCTATTTCCAAAACCAAAGACAAGTTGTAAACATTGGCAGCAGAAAGCACAGATAAGAAACGGTGTAACTTTCCCATAGACTGCATAAAAAGAATGTCGCTCTACATGTGGAGACTATCGCCAAACTCGTCCGTTCAGTTTGTGCATGTCGTAATCTGAGCCTTACATATTCATCTATGTCCTGAAGAATTACAGGCTAAGTAATGCATGACGAGTTGACAGCGCTGTGAACAGGACCAGCACTTCACTTCATTCCAGGGACTCTTTATGTGGGGGGGGGGCTGATTACACAGGTGTTCCTGGTGGGTGGAACAGTTTGGGCAAAGCCTCCTTTAATGCAGTAACTTTTCCACCGTGAGCAACAGAGTGAAGCAACGCGCTGCAACAGCGAGGCTTTCATCAGCTCACTTCCTCCTGAGCCGCAGTCCTCCGGGCTCCAGCCTCGGCTCTCCTCTCAAAAGATGAGAGGCAGGTGAAAGTTGCGAGCGAGCGCGTGGGAGGGGAGGGGAGGGCACGGCCCGCGCAGCTCCAGCCAGCGGGCCGGCGCCTTGAAGTGGAAATGAGCGGAGGGGAGAGACGTGTGTGGATTCAGGTGTTTTTGTCTCGCCCTCTCACCCGGGACGGCCCGGATCCGTTTAGACGTTTCCCTCACCCCCCGTCACCGACCGATGCAGCCCCACTAATAAGCCCATCGTTTGTCCTTGGCTTTTGTTTTCTACAACCCTCTCACACTGCGTAGCCATTTGACCAGCAGGACGCACGGCGCTCTCCACAAACAGGATCTGCTTGTTATTCCCTCCTGCTCTGCCTCTTTGTCAGCGGAGGCCTCTGATGTGCGCGGCCTCCTGTGTGTTTGGGGAAACAGCTGCCAAGGGACCCCCTGTCTGTCTTCGGTGCTCTCCTCATCCTCATCTCTCTCTCTCTGTCTCTCCCTCTGTGCCAGAAAGTTTGGTGCTACTCTGTGTGAACCCGTTGGTTTTCTAAACAGTGCGCCTGCTCTTTTCGGCGGTGACATTTCTGCGGCGTCTCCAGCAGCAGGTGGGCAGCGGCCGACACCAGCTGTCCAGCACACGTTTTCCAACGCCGCCAGCCAGATAGCGTTTAATTATTATTTTAAGGTGCGCGTGAGGAGAATAGCCCTCTCCCGTCGCGCCGGGATGAGAAACTTCAGCTCTCATTGAAGTGTGGCCACATGTTTAAAAGCTCGTCATTGAAAGTAGAGGAATGGGGAGAAGTCAGAGGCAGGTAAGACAGGAGCTGACTTTGATCCGGGATGCGCCTGTGGTTATCCAGCCCGCGGCGCCTGCTCTACTTCCCATTCCCCTTCCGCAACGTCTATTTTCAGCCGCTTGATTTGTCTAGATGTGCACGCAGAGTGTGGGTGACGGGCTTAATTTCATTTGCCACGGATGCGTCCCTCAGAGTCGCTTCTATCAGGGACAAGGATCCGCCCTTCACCGCTGAGGTCTCTCGTAGGTGATCCTGTTTCCAGAATAGTTTTGCGCCTCCAGTTCTTCCGAGGGCCCACAAGGACAATCCCAAGCCTTAATTGGTTTCATGCTGACCTGAACTTCCTCTTCTCTCCAAAGAGATCAGGCCATTCCCTCACTCTAGCAACCCACCTCCCATCAGCAGAGCCTCTCAAAGGCTCTCACACCGCCACGTCTCTCTTTCTGTTACATTTACAGCTCCTCCATCCACATTTGCCAAAGGTGGAACACTTTGCTGCATCCATTAATTGTGAGCGTTTTTAACAATTTTTTAAAAACTTTCTTTTACAAGTTATATCCACTATATCTTTCATTTTGTTAGAACAGATATTGCATATTTTATCTCTAACCCATGACCTTTCACTACTTCTATAAACCTTTACCAATTTCTTTTTTAAATTGTTCGGTAATAGACATAAATTGGGGACAGTCTTAAGCTTACCAGAACCCACTTGTGCGGCATCGAATTGACGATTGTGAGCAAATTGGAGTAAACAAACAGACTAGAATAGAACTGAATAAAGTGAATTATTAGGTTTTCCTAAACTGCTATTTGTGTCACCGCACAGGTCTGGGAAAAACCAAGAGGAAGACCAGCGCCCGCGACACCTCCCCGACGCCCAGCTCCGACACAGAGTACCCCTCCAACGGCAGCGGGGGCGGAGGGGGGGGCGGGGGGGAGGGCGCCGACCGGATCTACGACCTCAACATCCCCGCCGTGGTCAAGTTCAACTACACGGCGGAGCGGGACGACGAGCTGACCCTGGTGAAGGGCAGCACGGTGACGGTGACGGAGAAGTGCAGCGACGGCTGGTGGAGGGGGGCGCACGCCGGCCAGGTGGGCTGGTTCCCCTCCAACTACCTGCAGGAGGAGCCGGGGGGCCCCGACGACCGCGGGGAGGCCGACCCGTCCCAGGCCTACCACGGGGGCCCCCCCGGAGCCCCGCCGGCCAACGGGCGCCCGGGGGCCGGCGCGCTCCACCTGGTGCAGACGCTCTACCCGCTCAGCTCGGTGACGGAGGAGGAGCTGAACTTTGAGAAGGGCGAGGTGATGGAGGTGGTGGAGAAGCCCGAGAACGACCCGGAGTGGTGGCGCTGCAAGAACTCGCGCGGCCTGGTGGGCCTGGTGCCCAAAAACTACGTGACGGTGCTGGACGAGCGGCCCGGCCCCCCCCCACCCTCCTCCTCCTCCTCCAACGCCTCCGGCCCCCCGCAGGGCCGCCTGGCGGCGCCGGCGCGCACGGGCAGGTTCCCCGGGAGGGACTGGTACTACGGCAACGTCACCCGGCACCAGGCCGAGTGTGTGCTCAACGAGCGGGGGGAGGAGGGGGACTTCCTCATACGAGACAGCGAGTCATCGGTGAGTCAGCACGGGGGGGGGGGGGGCATCACAGGGGGAAAGACACAGAATATCCAGTAAACTGTTTTCAGAGTGACAGGATCCAGATAGATTTAGCAATAAAAAAGGGATAACATATTCAGCGTTGTATACTCTGCAGCCACAGGTTTGAGAAGTTTGTGATAAAAAGCTGAGTCAGAATCCCAGAAAGATTTTGTTTATTTACATCCATTTATCAAACATTTAACCTACTTCTGCCGCTTGTACCAGAGTCTAATTCTGGAGATATTTTATTACAAAAAAAGATTTTCTTGCTTAGTAATTTCTCCAACAAAATCATCCCAGATGATTCCATTCCTGTTCTCTTATTAAGCAGAAAACTGTAAATATTCACAAACAGACTGCATACAGCTGTTTAAGGCTTTGATAAACAAGACATTTTCAGATTGTTTTAAAACAAGAGTGTCAGTAGCAGCCTTGAAGTTATGGAGGAAATAAAGGTGCTATTCTATTATTTGCATTTTGAAATCAGCAAATATTTGCTACTGCCTACATTCTACATCCATGACGTTTATTCCCTGTGCAGTCGAAAACACCACAAATGTCCTCTGTGGGTTTAAAGTTTTGACCGTGCAGCATCAGTGAACGAGTTTCCTCCTCTGAACTCGTCTTTTAAGAGGAAGGATTCACACTCTGCTCTGAGACGTAAAGCAGTGACTGTGGTGCCCCCTGCTGGAGGAACATGGCTGCCTGGTTTCTAATTTGTTGATTTTTCCTCTTGCTCTCTCTCCCTTTATGCCATTGTTCCTCCAGCCCAGTGACTTCTCGGTGTCCCTGAAGGCGGCTGGGAAGAACAAGCACTTTAAGGTGAAGCTGTCGGAGGGGTCATACTGCATCGGTCAGCGCCGCTTCGGCTCCATGGACGAACTGGTGGAGCACTACAAGAAAGCTCCCATCTTCACCGGGGAGCACGGGGAGAAGCTGTACCTGGCCAGAGCGCTGCAGTGACGCCCCCCCGCCTACACTGGATCTCCCCCCCCCCCCCCCCCCCCCCCCGCCCCCCCCCCCCCGGCCCCCCCCCCCGCCCCCCCGGCCGGGGCGTGCGGTCCCCACCCGGCCCCGGGGCTTTATCCGTCTCGTGAAACTTGAAAAAACAAACAAACAGGTGGAACCTTTTTTTTTGTTTTTTCAGGTTTTTTGAGCGGAGAAACGAACCCCAACACAGCCAGCACTGTGCCAGCAGAGCCCCCCCCCCCCCACGCACAGCACAGTGTGTCCAGCCGCCCTGTCATGGACGTGTCCACACGCAGTGACCATTTCTGCTGCTAGCGGAACGCCCCAGGCCTTTGGGGGGGATGGGGGGGGGTCAAGCTCTCCCTCTGATGTCATACATAACGTCTATTTGAAACATTTTGAGTTGGGCCATTGCTCTTCATCCACACAGGAGAGTGGACACTGACCAGCTCAGAGAGGACTCAGAACTCTGGAGTGGTCCTGTCTAATTGCTGGCCGTTGTTTTATTTCCTTTATTTTTTTTTTTTTTTTTTACAACTTCTTGTGAATGAGTTAACTTTTGGGTCTTTCTTTTGTTTCTTTCTGTTTTTTTTTTAAAGCTAATTTAAATCCCTTCCTCTTAGGAGGTTTGAATTCTTGCTTTTTCACAAAGTGACCAGAATCACTGTCTTGCCTTTTTTTTATTATTTCTTTCTCCTAATTGTCGCCATTCCTCTACATGATTCTTCTCCCCATTTCAAATGTTTTTTTTTTCCTTTCCCCCCTCCCACTTTGTTAGTCATAGAACAGTGACTGTAATATTTCCTGATAGGCTGTGAGGGGTGGGGCATGAATGCAATAGGGGGGGGGGACCTGTGAGTTTCTGTAGAGTTTGAATGTTGATCCGTGGAACCAAATGTGCCGCTCTGAACCCCAGCAGGCTCCAGCAGGCACTGCTCTCTAGACTTTGGTTTACTGGCGGCGCTGTGCTCTTGCTTTATACTGTCACATGGAACATGTGTAGCCACGTGCTGAGCGGAGAATAATAAAAGCCTCGTTTGGGAACACCTTTGAGTGGCCACACTTCATCTGTTGCTGGGAGCGAATGCAGCTGTGGAAAGTACCTCTTCTGATGTAATATTGGTCAAAGATGATGATGTCTTTGTGACTCTTGTGATTACAGAATTACAGAGAACTTTTCAGGAATTGTATACAAGTTTAAACAGTTATTGATTAAATGAAACCCCAGAATTCTGTAACTCTTTTGCTTTATAAATGACCTATTTCTTCTCTGGTTAACAAGTAATATACACGGTACACTATTCTTTACTAGGTATTTGTTAATCCTGCCCTCGGACAAAACTATTTGTAGTGGAGCTACTTGGCAGCCGGATCTAGACGCTGCAAGCCTGTCGACTTTTTTGGACATTTGAAATTAGAGAAGCAATTAAAAAAAAAGGATGCGTTTTAGTGTTTAGCTTTAGCTAAAGAGAAAGTGAGGATAATTTGTTGTTAAAATGATGGACTTGCTGCACAAAAAGATGAGGCAGGCATCGGGGGAGGAGTCACATGGGAATGGCCTGAGAGGAGTTGTCATTTTTTACACCAAATACACTGTTTTGTTGTTTGTGAGAATCTAGCCCTACCAAACATTGACCAGTTCTTCGTTTATGTGCATTCACCGATGGAAGTGTTGATCATGGGGTCCTCATCTTTTATATATCTGAATGTTATTGAGCATTGTTATTTAATTCTTGTTGCCACTGTATGTATATATTCAAAATAAGAAGAGGTGCATATATGAATCATTAAGATCCAACTATGGTACTGTATCACCGACAATGTGATGGGACTGGAGATGCTTTTGATCAATAAAACTTTTTGAAGAAGCTATGAGGATTGGTGTATAAGTAGTTTGGGAGATTTCTGCATTTTAGACTGTTTGATGAATACAATATTTCACAGCTGAACATTCAATCTCTTTTTATTTACCAATCAAAATGAATTTAGCTGTTTTATTTAAGTCTGTAGAAGTCAAAGCTCCGTTCACCTGGTGGAAGTTCTTTATCTCTGGAGAAGCAGCTCCTGCTGACCTGTATTAAAGATCTTAAATTGGGATTTTTGAGTCTGCTTCAGAGATTTTGAAAAAAAATATTGCACTGACCACTTTGTGGGTTCAAAGGTATGCTATATTTGGACTTTAGTAAAGCACAAAGCTGTAAGTTATTAGCGCTGCATAAATAAAACTTGATAAATGATTGGGAAATAAATGAAAAATGAGAGAGGAGGTTTTTAGCTGCAGTGTAGCTGCTGCTATAGGTGTTTCTCTCATTCTGGATCTGTGATGTGTGCTCATTCTGTTTGACACATCTGCTGATTGCTTCCTCTCTTGTACAATAATCTCTAAGTATTACAAGAGATTCTGTATCAGATTGGATTCCGGCATTTATTCTAGACATTTTAATGTCTTCAGAAATCGCACACTGTGTTTCAGATGTTCATTGTTACTAAATAGCCCAATTGTTACCTGATTCCTCACAGTGTGCTGCTGCCACTGCTGATAAAAGGTGCCGATGATAATTCACTGGAGACGTCTGTCTCACAGGCTGGGTGTGAGCCGGTGTTCTGACCCACTGACTGAATATGGTCATCACTAACTAGTAGGGAAAAAAAGCAATAGAAATGTCACAACACTTATGTATTAACTGATAGAGTATACTTAAATCAGGTGGAAAAAAAACTTAAACCAACAAACAAATACAAGAAAGGAGAAGGATTAGATATTTGAAGGATGGAATTGAACCCTTAAACCAAAATAAACACACATTGAACAGGCCAGAAAAATATTTACCTGTGGGCATATAACTGTGAGCGGAATTCATTAGATTTTTATGAGTGAGCTTTGTGCTTCTTCCTTTTAAATCTCCACATGGTGGCAGTATTGAGCTTCCTGTTTCGCCTCTAACAGCTGCTTTCATTCTGCACATGCAAAAGATAAAACTTAAATCTGCTTCTGAAGGAATCAGAGTGGAGATGGATTTGACCTATCGGGTAAATTTGATCTTTTTATCTGTTTCCAGCTCTGCGATTTCAGTCAGACTGTACGCAGACAGTCTTTGAATTTTGCAGACACTTTTGAACATTTCGTTTAAATGAGAAGATGATATATATATATATATATATATAAATATAATTAAAATATTGTCTGCGGTCATTTCTGGTTAAACAGTAGAGTCAGAAACTCAATTTTCCTTTTTAAATACAGTCAGTCCCTTCTATTTCTCCTCATACTGTGGGCAAAAAATCTCCAAATGAATTGTTTTTACAGATACCAGCCAATCAGCCTTACTACCATCAAATGAATAGAGTAAAAGTTTATCCTCGCAGATTTCATAAGGACTGCATAAAAGTGGCAGCTGCTAATGTTTGTGGCTGTGAGGCGTGACAGCAGCCGGAGCCACATCCCATTTCCCTCTGTCTTGTTTTTGGGCCCGTTTCAATCCCAGCTTTTCATAAACCACCCGTTTTATTTTGTCACAAACATGACACCTAGTCTAGACGGCTGAGCTACAGGTGGTGTGTTCAGATAATGGGATTGCATCATAAACCCCCCCCCCCCCCCCCCCCCGGCGCTCGCCTCTGGAGTGACCTCACATCTGTCTCACAGCTGGTTCTATTGAATAGCTTTAGCCACATCCCACCACTAGTACAGGGATGTGCGGCGTGTGTACCTGTATTTCCGGCTTAGGCAGGAACACCCGGGTGAGAGCTGGTGGAGGGGCTGTCCGGGGGCTTTTCCTCAGCTGGGTTCGAGACCGAGACGCCTGAATGAGGTGATGGCACGGGGGGAATGTGATAGTGATAGGTATTCTTCAAAACTAAGCTCCCCCGTATCTCTCCTTTGGCCACATTAATCAGCCTCACATGGACTCTGTCCTCAGGCAGACGCAGATAAGCTGCAGCTGAGTGTGTGTGTGTGTGTGTGTGTGTGTGTGTGTGTTTCCTCCATTGTTGCTGGTGAATGAATACAAGTGCGATTAGTCTTGTTGGGAATATGTTTGGTATTGTTATGCAACAGGACTAGAGAGGAGCAGCCATATTCAGATACCCATGAATACAAGCTCCAGTTTCCAACAAATAACTTGAATCTCTCCAGGCCTCAGACACAGCCCGCTTATCAAACACAGAACGCCTTCCCCTCATGGGTAAAGCCCTCATTTTGCCCCAAAACCAAACACAGCTACATAAACTAGTCCAAGCAACACATCCTTTCTCTTATCAGAAGAACAGACTTAAAAGCGTTTGTTTGAATGGAAGCCCTCATTAACCGTCAGGCTGTGAGGAGGGCAGCGTTCAGAGTGGGATGGGGAATAGAGGGGGGGGGATCTGTCTTGGTGGAGTGTAGGGAGCTCTGCTCGGCCTGCCGGCTGCCCACAGAAGCAGATCTTACACTCTGGGATGTTCCGTGACAAAAAGGGGCTGAGGACGCCGGCGCGTGAAACAAATGAAACGGGACAAGGGACGGCAGAGGAAAAGGTCAGCGGTTAAGAGAATGTGAGACGCAACAATAACTCCGGTTCAAAACTCCCGCTGGCTTCGCTCTTCACCTCGGAGCACGCTGAAAAACACCAGCAGAGAGGGGCTCAGCTTTACCTTTTCAACACACACAGACTCCAGTCCAGTTTTTCTTTTTGAAAATGTAAGAGGATCAGCGGCATTTTCACATCCAGCATCTTTCTCAACCTCACGGACATTTATCAGAAACGACTTTAATAGGACATTTTTTTCCTGCTCTTACTGGCCTTTTAAGTATGTCAATTAACACGTTTCTATGCTTTTTGTGCACTTAGCACTGGTGATGCATCATGGATGACGGTTTATTCTTTTGAAAACTAGAGGCCATAAAGTGTGTTATGTAAAATCTTTAACTGATACAACATAAAGGAAAAGAAGTGCTGATGATTTAGCAGGAAATTGTTGGACTTTGAATTACTTAAATTATCACAAACGAGAGC